TTGAAAAATTATCCATTTTACTTATTAGGAGTAAAATAATAAATAATAATTGGTCCCCTCTATGGACGGTACTTTTTAGTCTTTACCTTAAACGTTATCAACCATGCTAAATCACGAGCCTACTCATACAAAGATAACATGCATATAGACCAGGTTAATTTTTATTTTTTTGGGGGACAAATTTACCACTAGACAAAGTGTCTAGTGGCCTATTATTAGAAATAAAAATCTCAATAAGGATATGTATAAGCAAGGGAGGTTAGGTTTTACATTACTAATCCTAATGCAGTAACAAACATCTACTAACTAACAAGCAGGAAAAAAATACGAGCTAGAAAGAACTAGGTATTTTGTGATCACCACAGAGTTTGTAATACACTCTATGATGATATTACAAATGAGGATGCTTAAATAGTGAAAAAAATATAACAACCAAGAGGAAGGTTGAGTTACCAATCTCAACCTTCCTTTTAATGATGCATGAATTAAAAAAAATTGATTGTCCATCTAAAGTAACCTGAAGTATTTTGTTCTTGTCTTATTTTTCAAATCTATACAACAACACTTGATAGTTCATCACTTCTTCTTGGAATTATTGGATCTTGTTGAATATGTTGACATTGTCAAATGAATTTGCTTTGTCGGTCACATCGGTAGGTGCCATGGAACAAACTCCTCAGTCACATTGTCATCCCAACTATTCTTTCTTCCATGTTTATTTTTGTTATTACGTTGTTGACTAGGAGAAATATTTGCATCCCTAGTTGTATTCCCAAAGCAGTGATCCAACGAATCCTCTTCATCACTTTCCTCATCTTGTAGGTTAGCAAACTGATTTGGGGAGAAAGTACTACTACCACTAACTTGTAATTGTTTGTTAGTGTTAACTGTTAATAGGTGTAAGAGAAACCAACATTTCAACATCAGAACTCCCTAATGCATCAATAAACTCCTTGTCATTAACATCATTTTTTTGAACATTAGAACTTGCTAAAATCAATTGTCGCCGATGTAACGGAGATGAAACATAGACAATGCTACTACCCTTAGGCACAAAGGTTGGTGCTTCAGGGCTCAATTTACTATGAGATGTGACATGCTCTTCCTCTTCTTCTATCATATTCGCCCATCGACTCTCATTTGTAACACATTTTTGCCTACTAGAAGTCATCAAACTATTTGTTAAAGTAGTTGTTGCTTTTTTCGATGCCACCACATTCCAACCCTACTGCCATGTTGAGCAGAGACCTGACCACTGGATTTTTCAACTCGTTGTGTTGCCTCATGTTCAGTCTCTATAGAATGTTTACCCTGTCCAACAACTAAATATTGCCTATGATTTTCATTTGATTTATGTGCATTAACATCGCCTAGTTGATGTCGAGAATCAACTAGTGATGCATCAACCACAACTCTTGAATTTATATTCTCCAATCTTTGAGATACACCATGATGTACATTCAATATAGTAGTTGCAGATGTTGAAGAACCAATTTTTGTCACATTTTGATTATCCTCAACGAAAATCAATTGTGATGTCTTAATAGTTTCCAAAGTTGAGGCATGCCCCTGTTTTTCGACGCGCCCCCCAAAGCCTTATCAGATTCGTGTTCAATGCCTATAGCAATTGAAGATTTCTCCTTAACATTAGGATTAAATTCAACAGTAGCAATACCTATTGGAACGTTGTTTGTAGGAACAATTTGACTTCCAACCGTTGTTTTGATATTAACGAGATTATTTTGGACCTCAACAACACATTGTGCATATTATCTAAAGTGTTTTCCTTGAACAAATCATAATTCAAGTCTGCTTGAGCTTAAAGATTTTTTTGAATCAAAATAGGACTGAAATTATTGTGCATTGCATCATTAGATTTTGATGATTCAGTTATCGCCAATACATTGTTTTTGGTGCACGTACTGGAATTTTTATCATCGTCTCTTTGAATAACTTCTTCTAGTCCCTTTTTCTCATTCAAAATTCTCATTGCATCTCTCTCTTATACTTTTGGATATCATGCGCAATTTCTTTTTCTGTTACACCTACTTTTTGATCATGGACTATGTTCTTTTTCAAGATTAGATGACAATTTATTTCGGCATGGCCTTGATGCTTGCAATAGACAATCTCTTGAAAGCGTTCCAAAATCTTACTAGATTCCTCATCCAAATACTGGAGTTTAATTCGTTTAGGATGTTTGTCCAATAGATCAAGTTCGACTTTTACTCTTGCTGTGCTAGGTCTTGATCGAACTTGAGTTGCTTTATCGATTGCAATTGGGCACCCCGCTGCTATGCAATTGATAAAAGGGATTTCGTAGCAAACAAACCAGTAGGCAAACCTGTCATGAATAACCAAGCTAATGCTCTTGAAGTTTCTTCCTTTGGATTGAAAGAAAAAGTCAATGGAAAAGTTCTATAACCATAGTGTTCACCGTTAAACTGAATATAACCAGATTGATGCGATAAGACTGATATATATATATATATATAATCTGCATCATATCGGTTGCAATGAATTAAAATATGTCTTGTAGCAAGTAACCCAATCAAACATTGACCTTTTGTTTTGGAAAAATGTTTCGCAACTCTTGAATTTATGGTGCACCATACGAGAACTTCATCACAATGGCTTGGTGAAGTCCCTCTTCAGTAGCAAACTCGTCTAACTCCTTAAACGTGAATTGTAGGGTTGGCTCTCCATGTACATATTTGATCGATTTCAGTTGTGTTTTTTGTACAAATTGTGTAGGCATTTTAGATATGATTTTTGCATGTAGGTTTTGGTACTAGTTCTCCCTCAGCCATAGGTTGGGGAGAGGACAACAAAGCCATGGAAGGCCTTAAGTCGCCATTCCAGTCGCCTAGAGAAAAAAGAGCGTTTTAGGGTTATTTTTAAAGTGTGTACCAGGTTCATTTGATATTTTTTTACGAGGAAAATAAATTTATGTGTAAAAATCTATTCATTTAAAAAATACAATTACAGGCCGGTTGAATACTAAATATCTACAACACCTTTTGTCCAATTGTTAAGATGTCGTTTGCTTTGGACCTAGGCCTACATAAATTTGACTCTTGGATTTTTCCCATTTCAATATGATATTTTGTCTAAGGTGTAATGTATATCCCTTCTTTAAAGGCTTGTCCTCCATCAATTACATGGTCGTCCCAAATTCATAAAATATTAAACTTATAAAACTTAAATCATGAATTCGCCTCCATGCATCGATGGTATGGGCTTATCCTCTACAATCTTGTAATTTGATACCTACAAACATGGGATAGCTAATCCTAGCTCTCTTACAAGGGGAAGTTGGCCACTTCTTTAATTTTCTTTAAGTTCACCATTTTAAGATTTATTGGTATATTGACAAAAATAGGAAGTTTTCGATTATACCAAAGATTAGTAAAATTATCCGTACTTTGCGCGAAAATTTAATATCATAAAAATTATAAAATAATACTTAAAACATATCTGACATTAAAACTACAACACTATATTATCTTACATACAAGATTACGTAGTAACAAATATTAATAATGTAAAGGAAAATGAAAATTATTACATGTTATCATTTATCCTTAATAACATAAGCATAAATTAATGATTGTAAAAATATATACCAGGATCTGTAACATAAGCAATGGTGTTAGTGAGTCACTCAATAGGAGCAAAGTACACAAATATTTAGTTGTGAAGAAGAAGAGGAGGAGGTTTAAATTTTTTGTTGTTTTAAAATGAGAGGAAATCCCTCTATTTATAGACAACAGAGGGTAATGTGAACAAATGTTTATTGCGCCTTATCAGAAAGGTTACAACTATTTGGAAAAGTTGCAACCCTTCAGAAAGGTCACAATCTTACCTAAAAGTCGCAACTTTTCATAAAAGTCACAACTTTTCATGAAAGGGGAAGGCTAGTTTTGGAAATAAAAAATTAACAGGGAATTCTAGTTTGTGGTGACGCCACGTAAGCGGGCCTAATGTTCTCTTTTATATATATGATATACTCCCTTTGTCCCTAATTATTTGTCCACTTTTGAATTGACACATCTATTAAGAAATCAATTAATGACATAGTCAGTTTATCATTTTACCCCTACTAATTATGAAGTGGATGAAAAGTTTTGCATTTTTCAAAGTAATTAGTCATTTAATTGGGCAAAAAAAAATTTGTTCTTTCTTGATTTGTCAAAATGGACAAGTAATTAGGGACAACTATACAAGGAAAAGTGGATAAGTAATTAGGACAGAAGGAGTATGCTATATGATTGGAAGACTTGCTAAATAAGGGCTCGGAGAGGAGAAAGAGAAGGAGGAACAACGCGACATATGAACTCTAAATTTAGAGCATGCAATGGTATAACAACCCAATACCAAATCAATGGGCAAAATCGAATGAAAAATTGGCCTAAAATCAAAACAAAAATAAAATAAATAATCGAAGAAATCGGTGTCCGCTAAATTCTCCACTGGAATTCTCGCGACAAAACGTACCATAACAGTTGGAGAAAATATAAACATGAAATCGATTTTATTAATAAGTAGAAACTGAAAGGAAATAAAAGTTGAAAAGAAAGAGGGAATGAAGGAGACCGTGTAGGTTTTTGTTAATATTCCAATGAAGATGACGAACAGAGATAGTAGCACGCGTGTTTCTTAAAACATAAAAAGCAATACACGTGTGTGTTAATAATATTTATCACAAATGGGCCCAGTATAATGTACCATTTACACTATTTTGGTACAATATGTAATTGCCGTGTTCGTCCACCTTTGTTCGCTTATAAAATAGTGAAAAAAACAGTCATGCTTCATTGTATTAAAGAAATTAAACTTTCATTTGCAGGACCAATTTAAGGTATGTCCCATTTTTTATTTATTGATATAACAATGTACGTAATTTTGCAAAGAATTAAGTAGCTTAATTAACACGAATATATTTTCTTCACAAATGTCCATATTATAGCGAGAGGGGAGCCTATCTTCTTGAGTTTCAAATGGAGTTGTGCACCCAAAGTGTAGCGGTTGATCATAAGATTATTACACGTCGCTCTGCCAATTATCATCCTACTATTTGGGGAGACCATTTTCTTGCCTCCTATGCTGAAGTAATCTCGGTAAATAATTTTGTTATCGTCAATAGAACAAATTAAATTAATGTAAGTTCTAAATAATAATAAATGTAGGGAGGCAATTATGAGGGGGAAGAGAAGCAGCATGAAGAGGTAAAAGAAGAAGTGAGGAAAATTCTAGTGATGGCTCCTTCAAAATCTTTGCAAAACCTTGAACTCATCAACACAATCCAACGTCTTGGTGTGGCTTACCATTTTGAACGTGAGATCGAGGAATCGTTGAGTTACTGTTATGAAGAAGAATTGATTAGCCATGGTGAAGATGATGGCTGCTGCCTTCATCATATTGCTCTATGTTTTCGGTTACTAAGGCAACAAGGTTACTATGTCTCGTGTGGTAAGTGGGCAGTGGCGGAGACATTCTTTTAGTAACGGAATGGCAAAACTGTTATTTAGTTATAAAGTTTTTATTCTTGCTCTCAGCAGATGCTTTTAGGAAGTTTACTAACGACCAAGGAAATTACAAGGAAGCATTGGTTAACAACGTGCGAGGAATGCTGAGCTTATATGAGGCAGCACAATTCAGAGTACATGACGAAGATATTCTTGATAAAGCACTAAATTTCACTGTCACTCAATTGAAACTAATTTTGCCAAAATTGAGCAACTCATCCCTTGCAAAGCAAATCAGTAACGCACTGAAGTTTCCAATCAAAGATGGTATAGTGAGGGTAGAAACAAGGAAATACATATCATTTTACGAAGAAGATGAATCACACGATCAAGTTTTACTAAAATTTGCCAAATTGGACTTCAACATCTTGCAAAGGTTACATAAAAAGGAACTATGTGATATCACAAGGTAATTGTCAAGCTAGATATTCAATTTTCTTTTCCCAAGTAAAATTCATTTCGAAACATAATTTTAATATACTCTGTCTCGACTTTAAAAGTATTATTTTTCTAGCTTCAACCAAATATTGTCCAATTTGACATTTTAGGTGGCGGAAAGAATTGGAAATTGTCATGAAGGCATTACCTTATGCCAGAGACAGAGTGGTTGAGTTATACTTCTTGAGTTTAGGTGTCTACTTTGAGCCCCAGTATAGCATTGCCAGGAAAATATTAACAAAAGTTTTATGCTTTGCTTCTATTACTGATGACACATATGATATTTATGGGACATTAGATGAACTTACTCTCCTCACGGACGCTATTGAAAGGTAATTTTAGCTTACAACATTTTCATATATAGTTCATAATTTAACAAAATTAGATTTTTTATTAATGTTCAATATAATTTGATGTTAGGTGGAATATTGAGGCATCAGAACAACTACCATCATATATGAAGATTATTTATCGTGCTCTTCTAGATGTTTACAATGAAATAGAGAAAGAGTTGGCAAATGAAAACAACTCGTTTCTGGTCAACTATTCCATATCTGAGGTAATAAAGTAGCAAAATTAAGATCGTCTGTATGAATTTTAACTGTCCATATCACTTCATTTGATAATCGATCTTTTTTCAGATGAAAAAGTTGTTATGTACTTTTCTCCAAGAGGCAAAATGGTATCATGGAAAGAATCTCCCAACAATGGAGCAGTATATGACGAATGGAACTCGATCAAGCACTTACCATTTGGTTGCAACCACATCTTGGTTAGGCATGGGAGAGGTAGCGACTAAGGATGCATTTGATTGGATAGCAACTGAACCTCTAATACTTGTTGCTTCTGGTACCATTGCAAGATTACTTAACGATCTTGTAACACATGAGGTATATACGTACAGTGTGTTTTAAATTTCTAGTGATGTATAACATTAATTTAATACTCCTATATATGAAGTAATAAATTATTGTGGGATCGATGCAGATAGAACATGAAAGAGGAGACACAGCTTCTAGTATAGAATGTTACATGAATGAATATGGTGTTACAAAGGAAGAAGCACAGATGGAGATGAGGAAAATAATAGAGAATTGTTGGAAGGATATAAATCAAGAATATCTCAGACCCACAGTCGTTATACCAAGGGTTTTGCTTATGGCTATTATCAACCTTACAAGGGTGGCGGAGTTCATATATAAAGATGGAGATGCTTATTCTTTTTCGAAAAATAAATTGAAAGATATCGTCTCTATGGTGCTAATTGATCCAATTATACCATGAAAAAAAGAAAGAGAAAGGAGGAACTAGGATTGCATTTCTAGATCTAGAATGCATTTTTTTGGGATAATTTAATTACTATTATTTACTACAATACTAAATAAATATCCCAATGTTGGCATAAATAATGAGGTGTTTGGATTCTTTTCTATGTTGATATGATATTTGTAAGAAATAAGGTATGAAACAACGTACAGTAAATGTATTAACAACTTACGATCTCTCTGGTTCACTTTTACTTGTCATAACGAAACTTTTCTTTAAGAATTAATAAATGAGGTGCCTATTATTTTATCATAATACACATATTAAGTGATATATGGTTTCAATGGACTCAGGAAATGATCTGGAATGAGTAGTTAAAGATATGAGGTTTCTATCGGAGAATTATATAGATCATTATGAGAGGGATTATATATATATATATATATTTCACTCGCAGGGAACCACATTTCGGGTAGTAGTCTTCCTTCCATTATAGGATCATGGATTACCTAATGTTCAAGAATTACTTCTAGGAAGAAACAATATAAATGGTGTATGTCTTACCTGCTTCCATCTCAAATTTGACTAAACTTACCTATCTAAATCTCGGTGAAAATGAACTTACCACTTGGTAAGAGGACCTTTTGTTAATCTCTCTTACCAATCTTTCATGTCAAATGAAGGATTGTGTGGTAACCCTCAAAAGCATGTCCCAGCCTGTCATTCAAATTCAAAGAATCAGTCCAAGTCGAAGTAAAGAAGACTGATATGGATTATAGCTGCCTCTTCAGTTATCTCTGTAATAGGGCTTGCTTCAGCAATAGTTTTCATGTTGATGAGATGTGGGGGTAAAAAAATCAATGCTGAAAATGTTCATGGGGGATTTGAACTTGAGAAGCTACGAGCATAATTCACTTCATCAGGAGCTGAACCAAATCATAGATGCTGACTTACTATCACTAGATGAAGAGAAGTTACGTCAAAAGCTGCAATGCGTGTCATCCATCATGGAGTTAGCCATGAATTGCACAACTAGTATTCCCACGGAAAGGATGAACATATGACTGATGTTGTAGCAACATTGAAACAGGCGCTTTCTTCCTGTTACCTAATGACATCTACAGCGCGCAGGTACTTTCTGTATGTACCATATACCTATTAGTAGTAGTTGTTCCTCCATTTTGGAATACACTCTGATATTGTACATGTTTAATCTGTTTAGGTGGAAGACATTACTATTGTCAATGTCTCTTGGTTGCTGCCAATTTTCTGCTCTTGCAATGTGATCTATGTATTTTGAGCTGTACACATTTGAATTGATATGTCAAAAACTGATATTCAAAAGTTAGCTGACTGCCTGTTTTGTACAAAGCAAATGAAATGGTCCGTGGTGTTAAATTTTGGGAACTAATTAAAGGTTGAATTGCTATAGCTTCTAGTTTATTTGATTTAATATATACACATAATTGTTAGCCTTAAGATTCGAAATATAAAGGGCAACTCGGTACTGCGGAGTTTAAGGGACAAATCACAAGAATCTATTATACACAATCTTATCATATATTTCTGCAAGAGTAATATAATGCTAAAAATGCTGCCTAAAACATGGCCAAGATAGCTCTTTGTTCCAAGAGTAGTTAATATTGTATGGTCAAGTTTTTGAGAAATCAAACGTTTTTATTTTCTTTTAAAAAATGCTTTATTTTTATTTATTTTTGTAAAAAAAGAGTTGTTTGACTAAAAAAATTTTAAAAACAAACTGTTTCTCTCTTCTTTTTTTTTTGAAAACACATTTCTCAAAAGTTTGGTAGGGCTATAAATTTGCTTGAATTGCTACAAGTTATTTGATTCTCTTAACGTCATTATTTTAAGAGCAACTTTCACATATAGCAAACACAAAAATTATATTTGTATGCTATAGTTATAGTTTGCATAATTGCGCTCCACAACAAACATATATGTGTATATTTCGCTATACATATACAAAAGAAAGCAATTATATATAATTTGTTTCTATTTCGGTATACATATACAAAAGATCAATTATATAATATGTGTTTGTATAAAGCGAGAAAGAGAGAAAGACAAAAGAGAACTGGGCAGAAGAATATTTATATTGTATAATTATAAGTGTATAGGACGAAGATATATATATTTGCATGTGTGTATACAATTTTCTCTCGCTTTAGACAAACAGAAACACAATTTATACATTTCTGTTTGTATAAGCGAAAGAGGCGAGGGAGAGACTGACAAGCGAGATTTGGGAGAGTGGCGAGCGAGATCTGGGAGAGGAGAGAGAGGGGAACGAAAATATATGTATATATACAATTTTTTCTCGCTTTATACAAACACAAACGTATTTTATACATTTGCGTTTGTATAAAAAGCGAGAGAGGCGAGGGAGAGAACGAGAATGACGAGCGAGATTTACCAGGAGAGAGGCGAAATAACAATAATTTGCTATGGGGTACAATTAAATTAAACTATGTTTATAACATTTAATTTAAATTAATAATTTGCTATTATACACAATTTTCCCTTATTTTAATTGTATAGATTACTAAGCTATTTTATTCTAGGAAAATGGAAGTACCGGAGAAATTCAATTTTAAAATATCTTATTTAATTTTACATTAAATTGTCTTATTAGGACTCTGAGATTGTTTCAGGTAGGTCATTTATTCTAATTTGTTTATTCTATTTTCTTTTTAGTTATTTTTTAAAAAAAAAAAAAGTCTTCATCCTTTTTAACAATTGTTTAACTTTAACTTTTCACATGACAAATTCAAGATTATAAGATTAAAAGACATTTTGGTAAAAAAAAAGTTTTTCTTTATTTTTTTGACATATTTTTAATTAAGATAAAATTACAAAATTCAAAAGTTTTCTTTATATTTTTAGAGCCTATCAAATTAAAATAAGACAAACATATTGAAGTGAAGTAAGTATTATCTTCTACTTATCTCATAGACTCATACATTGCTAGTTTGGTACAATATATTATCTTATACTTAAGGACCTAATCTCGGTAAGATGATACTTAATCCCATAATTGTGCTTCTTACCATAATTTATAAAATAGATAATTTGTTAATATTGGCCTGCTAAACATCTCATTATCAAGTGATAAAGATTTTCTTGCAAACGTCAAGTTAACATTTTTAATTATTTTTTTAAGAAAAAGGAATATTTGTTGGTTCAACTTGTTTTTGGAGACGACTAACTTTTTTTTATTATTTGGAATTGATCTAGAAAAGGCTAGTATTATATAATTTGATAGGTATTTTCATTCAACAAAATATATCGATGGTTGACAATTAAGTTGGATAAAATTATCGCAGAATATTTAATTACGGATAGATTTAGTGTTTAAATAGTTATGGTAAGTGTAAATTCATGATATTTTCTTTATGCTACATATTTTACATAGATATTTTATAAAATTGATTTAATATTATTTGTTGACTATTAACATTATGCTAAAAAGGAATAAAATTGTATACTTGATTAAATACTAAATTTATTGCATAAAATAATATTATTCAAATCTCACTTAATACTTTTCTTCTTCTTTCTTTAGATGTACATACATATGTATAAAATTCTAAATTTCTCCGTGATACTGACAATAATCCTTTGTGACATTAACGATGCTTGCTCAACTGATACTCAATGTCTAATACTGTACTTGAAAACATGAAATAGTGGCGTGGATTCACTAACTCAATGAATAATAACATTATCTACACTTATAATAAGATAGCAACATTTTAATCATATCCTATAATATATCTATAATAACATTCTTGAACATATATAATACTTTTTTTCTTCTTTCTTTAGATGTACACACACATTTGCAAAATTTCTAAATTCCTCTATGATACTTAACGATAAATTCCTCTGTGACACAAACCTTGCTTGCTCAATTGGTACTCAATGTCTACTGTATTTGAAAACATGAAGTAGTGGTGTGGGTTCACTAACTCAATGATTGATAACATTATCAACATCTACACTTATAATAAGAAAGCAACATTTTTAACATATCATATAATATATCTATAACATCTTTACACATATAATTAAGGGTTGTGATAGGGGTGGAGACACATGGTGTCCAATGGAAAACTCTTCGTCGGATTTTTTTACCATTTATACAAGTAAATGATACGTAAAGTGATAAAATAACATATTTTAAACACTCTAACATTGTAGCCCAATAGTTTCAAATGCCTTGAATGAATTTCAGACATCTTGAATAAGCTAGTGTTCACGTGTTCGAATCTCACTATTCCGCCATCGATTCTGTTTATAGAGGTGTCTGAAAAAAATGCATTATAAATACAACTGGAACAAATAATTTTAATTATACAATACTAATAAATATAATAATGAAAAAAAAAATATTCACAAAAATTTTAGGCAAATCATATCTCGTAAGTCTTACATTTTTTGTGCAACGTTTAAATGAATGATATCTATTATGGAAAAAATAAATAATTGCAACAAGTTAAATGCAATAAAAAATGTATTACGGTGGATTTATTATTTCTTTCTTAATCAACGATTTCAAATTCGAGCTTAAATAAGAAAAAATGTGAAAAAGTAGGGGAATAATAAAAGTGAAAAAGTCTTTAGGGAGAACATTAGATTGTCGGGGTCTGGTTCTGCGAGTCAAATTCGGCTTTCCAGTCCACCTTCAATGACCCTACCTACCTGCTCATCTTTTTCTTCCCCAAAATTTGACTGGTTAATTGGGAAAAATTAGCAATTACCTACAAATGTAGGGGCTATACCAAAATTTTCAAACATGGGAGAGGAGAGAGACAGGAAGAGAAATGAACAAGTTATAGGGAGAGAGAGAGAAAACCAAAAGAGGAATAGCTGGATTCACATGGCTGTTTTACTAATGGGTCCTCTTTTTCTCTCTCTCTCTTCACCTAACCGACAATTATGATCTTTGAATCTTAAACAAAGAAGAAAAAACTCAAGAAAATAATTCTTCTTCTTCC